AGTAAACCTAACTACCATTCCCAGCGGCAACAGATGATCCAATTTTAGTTGGAAATATTCCGGATCTTAGGGCCACCTTCACTCTATCAGCCCATGGGAATGGATTTAGGAAACCCTTTTTATGAAGATGGGCCTGGAGGCCAGAAGGAAGCCCTTGCCCCTCCCAAAGTTGAAGCCAAAGCCAAAGATATTAAGATATTTCTTGACAACATATGAGTTTTAATCCTATAATGTCCCTGTTGTCTAGAGACCAATGTTTTGAACAGGTATGTTCTGGTTAAATAGCAACGTGAAGCAAACTTTCTTGCCAAGTATGGTATGTGTTATAGGATCTTTAATTCTAATTTCTTTTGAACTTCTTTAGAAGTGGTGCAATGCTTTTATTCAGAGAGATCTGCAGCAAGGAGGCTGCATTAATAATAATAAGCATTGCTGAGCACAATTTTGTCACCCTAAATGAAATGATTATTAGCAGTGAAATAAGAAAGTTAAACCTGTAAGATGTGACTATAAAGAGTAAAGATGTGTTATTTTAAATAAAAAAGACAATGAATGGTCACTGGTGAAGGGACATTGTAGGACTGAAACCCAATCATGAACAACTTTGTTTAACTGTGTACCTCACTGTGATTCAATTTAAAAATAAAAGAAAAAAAAAGAAAGATAATGGATGAAGATATCGAGAGAGGAAAATCTTTAAAGAGCTCTGGACTCTGAGGCAGTTGTATCTGTAATAGTTCACAAATATTGCCTGAGACAGTGGCATGTTTAAGAGGTGCCATTTAATTTGTAAGGGAGTGGTGTGATGGATTCCTCCTCTTTAACGAAGAGTTCAAGGAGACTTCTGTGCAAAGGGCCGAAGGACTCCTTGACACATTTCAGCCTTTAATGGTCCCCATCCACATGAACTTGTGGGAAGAGATCCCTTAGAACAATGGCAAGCTGAAAACTCATCTTCCTCCAGGGACATGTTTGGTTCTCTAGGGCCACTGTAATTAAGAGTCTGCTGCCTATAGCCAACCAGTGGCCCTTAACAAAAAAACTATAGTCATTAGATTCTTTGGTTGGAGAAAAATTGCAACTTGGCAACACTGAGATTTCATTTTCTGAATGGAAGTCTCCTTGATGTAGGCAGGTAGATAGGGAAAGGCTCTCTGCAATGAAACAAAGTCTCATAGAAGAAGAATTCTAGGACCGACCCACCCTGTGGAGACAGAGAATAAAGACTTGATAAAACCATCCCCAGACCCTGAAGATATGGGCCTCCTCCCCATGAAATTGCTCCTTTCAGAGAACCCGCTTTCAATCCGGTTGACTCCAGCGACCCAGCCCCAAGGAGATTCCAGGACGTTCCAAGTTAGAAGATTCTCGAACCCCCTTTCAATCCAGTTAACTCCAGTGACCGAGCCCCAAGGAGATTCCAGAACATTCCGAGTCAGAAGAATCTATAAGAACCAGCTCGAGAGCCCACTTGGCGCTCTCTCCACCCTCGGAGAAGCCCGCATTCCCTCTGGACACATTACTCTCTCTCTCTCTCTCTCTCTCTCACTCTCCATTCCCCCGCTTATCTGCTTATCCCTTTCTCTCCCTCTCCAAAAGCCTCCAAATAAAACCTGTTACTTCACTGCTCGTCTACTCCTGAAATTCTTTTCTGCGAGCGAGACAAGAACCCCAGAAACCTCGGGTAAGGCTTGGGACTGGTCTTTCCTTTCCTGTAAAGAGCGAATTCTCGCCCCAGGTTGAGTCAGTGGCTCCCCGAGCAATCGGGTGGCGGGGATTAACTCCCTTGCCGAGACGATCAAGCGGACTTCAGGTATGACTTGACAGTCACCTTGTGGGGCTGGCGGGGCTTAGGCCCGTGCCGAGCAGGTGCTCACTGCAGACTTTATCGGTCCTAGCCTACCCAGGGTCCCAGGAGACAGAGGCGGGTGGGGAGAAAGTGACCGTCTTTCTCCTCCCCACTTCACATAAGTCACCCGTGGGGCCCACCGACATCATCCTGTCTATATTATCAAGAAAAAAAAAACAAAACAAAACAACAACAAAAAAAAAAACAGGAAAATGGGCTAATTGATAGATGTTATGTTACCGATACTCTGGTATCTTTGGGAGCTCGATGTTCTGGACTTCCCTCTCCATCCTTAACTGGTATCTTCCCTCTGCCATCCTTAACTGGCATCTTCCCTCTGACATCCTTTAACAGTCATTGATTTGAAAGATTTTTTTAATTCTATCCCTATTTACCTTAATGATCATAAACATCTTGCTTTTTCTGTTCCCTTTCTTGTAGTCGCTTCCTGATGCACTGCTATCCAGTGGGCAGTACTGGCCCAAGAGCAGCTGATTCTCCTACTATGTGTCAGGATTTTGTTGATTTGATTTTGTGGCTGACCTGGAAAGACTTTCCTAAGGCATACATTATTCAGTATATGGATGGTTTGAGTGTCAGAAAATGAACTTTAAGGACTTTATGTGATTTTTTGTCTGTTGCAATCGGTTCTAGAAAAAGTTCAGAACTCCCTAGGATATGTGTTAGCACACATGACAGTGCATCCCCAGAAATTAAAGCTTTGTTTGGATAAATTACTTCAAATGATTTTCACAAATTTATGGACAATTATAAATTGGGTACAACTGCTTTGGGAATTCCTAATCCATCTTTGCAGTCTTTTTAACACACTGCAGAGAGATCCTGCTCCAGAAACTGAGCTCTCTTTCCCCTGAGACTCTTTAAAAATTGGAATATTTTACAGAGCAGCTTCAAAAGGCTTATTTACAAAGATTCAACCCCAAGATAAATTTTTACTATTGGTGCTTGTTACTCCTACTTCCCCCACACCACGCTAGCTCAGCTCTGAAGGCCCCCTGAATGGATTTATCTCCATAACAAAAGATCCCACACTTTGGTTCCTCTTAAGGAACAAGGAACAAGAACTAGTGGCTTCTTGTGAAGGAGCAACTGTTTAATTGTTAAAGAGCTATGTGCCAGAGATTTAGTTGGATTTAATCCTCATTATAATGTTTGCCCTTGGCCAGTAAAACAAACTGAAGCCATTATCCCTTTAAGTACAGCCCTCCAAAACGCTCCTCCTGATTTTGCAGGAGAAATTTCTTTCAACTACCCACCTGGTAAAGTTTGGGATATTTCTGCCCAGCAGGTGGAGCTTGGTACCATGTTTTTTTTCTTCCGAATATTACTAACCCAAGTAACATCATTTCAGATTTGTTGTTTGACCATTTCCAGAAACAGTAACGGCCTCTGTAAATGCTCATAACCCTTATTCTAGAGAAATTGTTATCAAAATTACAGTTGCTCTTGCAATCATGTACTTCTATTTTTATCACACATTCAAATCTGGGGCCTATGACTAAAGAAGATGAAATGACTGATCTCTCAACAACTCCTGTTTTTTACTTCTAGAAAAGAGCACCAAGCTCTTCACACTAATGCTTGCCATTTACATGTATGTTATCATATGCAAATAAGGTAAGAGAGAGATATCTATGAATAGAGAGATTATCTATGAATGCTCTGTTTGTGTTTCTCTCCATTGTACACCCTATATGGCAAGTGCCAATCCACAAGGCCTATAGAAAATTGAATTTTGACAGATGGATGCTACTTATACTTTGTCTTTTTCTAAGAAATGTTATCTTCACATGGTTATTGACACTTATTCTCATTTCAAGTAGTCTATTTCCATGACCTCTAAAAGGCTAAAGCAGTTTGCTCTTTCATTCTACAGTGTTTTGTCATTATGAATATTTCTTCCACTATTAAAAGTGATAATGGCCTAGCTTAAACTAGTAAGACTTTTCGTGCTTTCTGCCTTGAATGGCAAATTAAACATATCACTGGGATTCCTAGTAAGACTTGGGGCCAAAACATTATTGAAAGAGCTCAAAGAACTTTAAAAACATAGCCATTCAAGAACAAAATGGAGGGATTGGACCTCGGGGTGCTTTATTTTTTACATTATTTCAGCTAAAATTTTTAATTTTATCCTCAGGAGAACCTTACACAGTAAGAGAACACTTGGGATCTGAATCAACTTCAAACAATCACATTAATGCACCTATTCGGGTTAAAAATGACCATAAAAGAATAGCAGGAACACTTTTAATCCGAGAGAAAGAATATGCTTATTTTTCCACAGATGGAAACCTCTCGAGAAAGCTGTGGGTCCCACTTCTGCATGTCAGGCCCAAGACTCAGAAAGCAGTTTCCCAGCATCCTCTGTCCTCCAGCTGGGGGCTGACTTCAAAGGAGCTAGCATCTCTGCTGGTGAATATGCAGAAAACTTTGTCAGAAAACTGCTGACTTCCCCTCCCACCTGGGGACCAATAAAAACACTCAAGACCAGAGGAGAAGCTGTTCTTAAAGCAACCCACATCCCTCTTAACTCTGAAATTCATTTCTTGGCTCTGATTACTGTTTAATCTTGCAGTATGTAGTGTTCAGTATGCTTATTGGACCTTTATTACTTTTATCACTTTATTTTTATTATTTATTTTATTATTTTTATTACTTTATTTTTATTATTTATTTTTATTACTTTTATTACTTTATTACTTGTTTAATCTGATTACTGTTTAATCTTGCAGTATGTAGTGTTCAGTATACTTATTGGACCTTTATTCCTCACCCCGCCTCTCTTTCAGTTTTAGACTGGAGCATATCAAGACCCCAGATCTGGACTAATGGAAATATTAGAGAAATTTCCCTGTCACTTTTCCTTAAGGTAACCTGAAGACATGAAGGCCAGGTCACTTTGAAGATGCAGAAACTGAGTCCTAATAAACTAATACATCCAGAAAAGGAAAACATCCTCAGGCAGAGAGAAACTTCAAGAGACACAAAAAACATTTGTCCAATGAGACTGGTGTGAGTCAAGAAGGAGGGCTGTACTATCTCTCTACCTCCGGTTTCCCCACTTATCCCCCTGATATTAAAGTGTCATTCCTATTTTATGCATTAGGAAAATGAAGCTGTTTCTTACCGAGAAAGATGTTCTGCTGACCAGGTATAGCTTACATTACTGCACTTTGACCCAGTGTTGCAAAGAAGACTTTGGACAAAGGGGAAAATACCACGACTGGGCAGATCTCGGGGTTGCAAATAACCTGGATATAAAGGCAAAAAAGAAATTAATTTGCACAACTGATAACAGAAATGGAAGACTTGTTTAATTAGATTAGCAAAATGAAATTGTTTTTCACAATGTTATTGTTATTACTCCTGTTATTAGCACTGCACTGTAGCACTGTCCTCCCGTTGTTCATCAATTTGTTCGAGCAGGCCCAGTAACATCTCTATCGTGAGACTTGTTGTTACTGTGTTTGGCATATCGAATACCTCATGGGTAGCTTGCCAGGCTTTTCCTTGCGGGTGAGGTACTCTTGGTGGCTCTCCGAGAGAAGCGGAGGAATCGAACTCAGTTCGGCCGCATGGTCCGCGTGCAAGGCAAATGCCCTACCCGCTGTGCGGTCGCTCCAACCCACTACTATTACTAATAGAAAGAAAAATAGAATTCAGATGAAACTTTTAAGGAAGCAAAAAAAGGAAAGGAGAAAAATGGGAAAAAGAGAAAAAGGGAGAAAAAAGGAAAAATGGAGAAAGAAAGTGAGAGAAAAAATAAAAAGAAAAGGAAAGAAGAAATGAAGGAAGGAAGGAAGAAAGGAAGGGAGGGAGGGAGGGAGGGAAGGAGGGAGGGAGGGAGGGAGGGAAACAAAAAAGGAGAGAGAAAAAGGAAGAAAGAGAAAGGAGAGAGAAGGAAAGAAAACACTTTACACGTGATAGCTTCTCTATGCTGTCTTACAGGTTTATGGAGTGGCAATAACTTACTATACAGCCTTGCCTCTAGACACAGTTTACTGTAAACAAAACATGAGTGGGAAGAATAAGAATAAATCTTTCCCACCTCATAAAAATAATTACTAGATTTTAGATTGAGGGAAATTTCCAAATCTACTGCAGAGGAGAGTATAATGCAAACTTCTTTAGAAAAACTGATTGAATCCGATGTTTTCCAAGCAAATTGGACTACAACATGCCACCTCTCTCGCTACATTGTTGTTCACATATACTCCTCTTTAGCAAACCTGGACAAAACTGACAAAACTGAGTAGGCAAGAGTAATCATGATGCCAATGATGGAAGATAATTTGGAGGATACTAATATAATGTATTTTAGCCCACACGACCTTGATGAAAGTCTGCTCAAGCATAGCCTGGTCTAGAAGATGATCTTACCTTTTAGAACTTGGATAGCCACAGTGCTCAGAATTCAGCACAATGCTTTGCACTTAGAAGACAAACATTACATCTCTAACAAATAAACCAATGAGTACATAAACAAGTGATAGAAGAGCTGAATAATGATGGAGTAGGCACTGATTCTAAAGAAGAAAAAATATTTCTTAAGACAATAAACCTACGCGACTCCTTTATATAGGAATAGAAATTCATAAAGTTTGGATTCATATTCCAGCTAGCAATAAGTACTACATTCCCCTAGTATAGTTTCCATGTTCCATTTCCCTCAGGTACATGTCAGGAATAGTGATCACCACAGTGAATGCTCGGTAGATTAGACTCTAGTCTCCAAGACTTAATGCCTGAAATGGTTAAAGAAAAAAATAAGGAGACATTGCTCCCTAGTTGGAAGACTGTCTCATGAGTTGGGAGAAAAGGCAGCTAGAACAGAGAAGGGATCACTAAGTCAATGATAGTTAGAGAAATCATTCGGGATGGGAGATGTATGCTGAAAGTAGATAAAGGACCAAACATGATAGCTTCTTAGTATCTATATTGCAAACCATAATGCCCAAAAGTAGAGAGACAGTATGGGGAAATTGTCTGCCATAGAGGCAGAGGGAGGTTTCGAAAGGGTGGGGGTTAATACTGGGGAAATTGGTGGTGGAGAATGTGCACTGGTGGAGCGATGGGTGTTCGATCATTGTATGACTGAAACTCAAACATGAAAGTTTGTAACTGTATCTCACAGTGATTGAATAAATAAAATAATGAGACAAAAATATTTTTAAAAATAATTAAAATAATTTTAAGACATAATAAACAATAGGCTAGCCTAGCACAGCATGATGAATGAGGGTAGGTGATGGACAATTACTGATCCTCTTCTCTCCCCCAAGACTGTGGAGGGTATATGTCCATGTACCACTTCTCACCAAGGACCCATCCTATTGGCAGATAAAATTTGTTTTCATTATTTAAAAAGATACATAAATATTAGGCTTCTTATCAGACCCACAAAGGTCTCAGGTAGCAAGATGGAGCTTATGAGATTCTTAAATGTTTAGGCTTTTAAGCTACTACATCCTTAAATGTTTATATTTATAAGCTACTAAAATCTGCTTGTGAAGTATTTTGCTAGACCCCTTTCAGACTTGTAGGGAAGATGAGACTGAGGGAAGAAAGAGATAGAGTTCTCTTCTCCAGTGCTGTTCATCTGCCTTGATCTTCACGAAGTATTTCTAGTGTTTCTCTAAACTCACATCTTTTTAGACTAAATTACTTGTACAAATAAGAAAGAATATATGTTAGAATAAATATACTCAGCATAGGAAACCTCATAAGCTGTTTATCCTATAGGACAAAAGTAAATTTGTATGTTGTACTAAATGGATTTAATACTCAATTTAATGGGCTGGAGCGATAGCACAGCGGCAGGGCGTTTGCCTTGCAGGTATCCAACATAGCCAACCAGAGTTTGATTCCTCTGCCCCTCTCAGAGAGTCCAGCAAGCTACTGAAAGTATCTAGCCTGCACAGCAAAGCCTGGCAAGTTACCTGTGAGGTATTCGATATGCCAGACACAGTAACGAGTCTCACAATGTTACTGGGCCTGTCGAACAAATCGATGAACAATGGAAGGACAGTGACAGTGACTCAATTTAGTATTTCACCAACTGATTTAGTCATGATTTTTATTAGAACTTGATCTTTTTACTTTATCTGAGAAACCCTAGCATCCATTTATGGCATGAGAACTCTTAGTTTATTTTACCCTCCGGCTATACCATTAAATCACTAATCCTGAGTGATAAATTCAGTTTTCCACTATTTCATCTCAAGTCATTTAACTATTTGCTGGTGCAAACTTGCCTCTCTCAAGCCAACCCCTTGATAACCTTGATATTGAGTGACCTTGATAACTGCACCAACACCCTGAAGCTAAATCTAATTTAAAAAATCAAATAAATCTGGGCTGGAGAGATAGTACAGTGGGTAGGGCGTTTGCCTTGCACGTGGCCGATCCGGGTTCGATTCCCAGCATCCCATATGGTCCCCTGAGCACCGCCAGGAGTAACTCCTAAGTGCAGAGCCAGGAGTAACCCCTGTGCATCGCTGGGTGTGACTCAAAAAGCAAAAAAAAAAAAAAATCAAATAAATCTAATAAAAATATAGCATGATACTGGCTGGGCTAGAAACAGACCTGCAGACCAATGGAACAGAGTTGAATATTCTGTCACAGACCCCCAAACATTTGACCACTTAATCTTTGACAAAGAAGCAAGAAATGTGAAGTGGAACAAGGACAGCCTCTTCAATAAGTGGTGCTGGGAAAACTGGATAGCTACCTGCAAACAATGAACTCTGAGCTCTGTCTAATGCCAGGCCACAAAATTCAGATCAAAGTGGATTAAAGGCCTCAATATCAGACATGAATCCATAAGGTACATAGAGGAAAATGTAGGTAGAACTCTCCATGACATTGAAGCTAAAAACACCTTTAAGAATGAAACAGCACTGACCATGCAAGTGGAAGCAAACATAAACAAATGGGACTACACCAAACTAAGAAGCTTCTGTACTTCAAAAGAAACAGTAACCAAAATACAGAAAGAGCCTACAGAATGGGAAAGAATATTTAACCAATATCCATCTGATAAAGGATTAATATCCAGGATATACAAGACATTAGTAGAATTGTACAAGTAAAAGACCTCCAGCCCCATCAAAAAATGGGGAGAAGAAATGAACAGAAGTTTCCTCAAAAAATAAATACAAATGTCCAAAAGGCAAATGAGAAAATGCTCTGCATCGCTAGCCATCAGGGAGATGCAAATCAGAACAACAATGAGATATCATCTCACACCACAGAGACTGGCACACATTCAAAAGAACAAAAGCAACCAGTGCTGGCATGGATGTGGGGGGGAAAGGACACTCTTTCACTTTTGGTGGGAATACCCACTAGTCCAGCCTTTCTGAAAAACAATATGGACAGTCCTTCAAAAACTAGAAATTGAGTTTCCATATGACCCCACAATACCATTTCTGGGAATAGATCCCAAGAATACAAAAAAGCACAGTAGAAATGATATCTGTACCTGTATGTTCATTGCAGCACTGTTCACAATAGCCAAAATCTGGAAAAAACTCAAGTGCCCTAGAACAGATGACTGGTTAAAGAAACTTTGGTGCATCTACACAATGGAATACTATGCAGCTGTCAGGAGAGATGAAGTTATGAGCTTTGTTTATAAATGGATAGACATGGAGAGTATCTTGCTAAGTGAAATGAGTCAGAAAGAGAGGGACAGACTTAGAAAGACTGCACTCATTTGTGGAGTATAAAACAACAAAACATGAGGCTGACTCCTAAGGACAGTAGATACACGGGACAGATAGTTTGCTCCATAGCTGGAAGCCTGCCTCATGAGCAAAGGGGAAAAGGCAGCTGGAATAAGAGAATGGATCACTAAGAAAAAGATGGCTGGAAAAATCAGTCAGGATGGAAAATGTGTGAAGAAAGTAGATAAAGAACCAAACATGATAACCTCTCAATGTCTGTATTGCAAACCATAATGCCCAAAAGTAGAGAGAGATTATGGGGAATCATATCTGCCATGGAGGCAGGGGGAGGGTGGGAAAGGGGGGTTATACTGGGGATATTGGTGGTGGGGAACGTGCACTTGTGGAAGGATGGGTGTTTGATCATTGTGTGATTGATTGTAACTCAAACATGAAAGCTTATAACTATCTCATGGTGATTCAATAAAATTAATTAAAAAATACATCACCCTTGTCCTATTCATGTGACAAAATATTTTCCACTCTTTTGCCATATCTCTTTCTCAAAATATTCCGAACGCTCTACTCTTTTGACTTCTCTAAGCACTCCGGTCGCTCTTTGTTGACACTTTTACTTGTCCTCTGAATGAATGTTTATTCTTGAGACCTTTGTTCTGGCAGTTTTCCTCATGAACACTCATCCTCCAAACTCAGGTAAACTTTGGAGTCATATCTGACTAACAGAACTGCTCAACCTATCTCAGAAATAGACTCCTCACGTTCTGCATGATCCAACTGCATAAAGTCACAGATTCTAGCTGCTGAGCATCTTGACTGAGGCTGCACTTTCCATCTGGTGGTGTCACTTGAAAATGTTTTTCTGCTCATAACTTTCAAATGCTGTAGTTCCTTTCAATGCCCCCCCTTTTTTTTAAATTGAATCACCCTTGAGACACACAGTTATGAACTTTTTTATGACTGGATTTTAATCATACAATGCTCCAACACCTGTCCCTTTACCAGTGTATATTTTCAATCAATGTCCCTAGTTTCTCTCTGGCCACATTCCCCCCCCCCACAAGTCCCCCTAGCCTCCCTCTACAGCAGACAGTTTCTTCTTCTTCTTCTTCTTCTTCTTCTTCTTCTTCTTCTTCTTCTTCTTCTTCTTCTTCTTCTTCTTCTTCTTCTTCTTCTTCTTCTTCTTCTTCTTCTTCTTCTTCTTCTTCTTCTTCTTCTTCTTCTTCTTCTTCTTCTTCTTCTTCTTCTTCTTCTTCTTCTTCTTCTTCTTCTTCTTCTTCTTCTTCTTCTTCTTCTTCTTCTTTCTTCTTCTCCTTCTCCTCCTTCTCCTCCTTCTTCTTCTTCTCTTTCACACACAGATTCTTACCTTCGTTTTTATAAAGACCAATCTTGCCTTTGTCAAACCTTGCATGTTTTCTCTAACAAAATTTATCTAGTCTTTTTCCATGTTGATCCTCTACTTAAAATTCAATTTTTACTAGCACAATGCTTATACTATTATATGTTTCTGTTTTTATAATCCAAAATTATTCAGTGATTCCTCAGAATCCTTGAGGTGTTTACTGTTACTATCCAAAACCCTTTACTTATCTTACACTACTTACTCCTCAAACCACATCTCTGCAACTCTGCATAATGACTTCCTTTAGTTTAACTTTTCACTGTGCTCTTTGCCCTAATTTCTTTTTCCTTGCATTCTGTGTTCCATGGTTATGCTCCCAATTCCTCAGAAATCCTTTCCTAGAATAGATTGGTCACTCTTTATGTATTCACCAGATGCATTGTAGTATTGACCCTGAAATAAGTTCTGCAATATGAAGAAATATATGAAGGAAAATATTTTATTCACCTCTATTATCAGCAGGGCAAGTGACACAGAAGTCACTAAAATTTATTTGCTGATTAAAAATTAAATTAATTTAAAACCACAGATGTAATAGGCTATTTTTGATGGACTCAATTATTTAAACTTTTGTTTATGAGAATCTGTTATATTAGTTGTTTAACTTATATTTCAAGTAGTGCAACCCTGATAAAAACAGAATGTGTCAATTTTATGAATGATATTGTTACGGTCTAAAAAGAGTTCCATTTTTTTCCAGTAAAATTCTTGGTGCAGAGATTGTTTCTTTTATTAAGAAAAACTTAAATTTATGTCTTTTGGCACATACTCCAGAAATAACACTATTCTGTTACAAGGGAACTACATCCATTTATTTTATAAAGTATTCTGAGTTGATAAAAATAGAGGAGAAAAGCGCTATGTTATTTTTCTTCAGGGATTTGTAATCCAAAGTATATTTCAAAGTAAAACTTACATGTTTCTCTATGTCTGGGAGGTTCTTGGAAACGAAGTACTGTCAGAATCATGAACAGAATACATGGCCAGAAGAATTCCGCCAGGGAAAGAACCTAGGGAAATTGTTTAAAAATAAAAGATAGAACTTAAATGAGCTATTACAAAGAATTATGATATCCCCATCTAAGACTTGAGAGGCCAAGTCAAGCCTCTTTCAGGAAGTCATTTCTATTCCTAGATAAATTTTGAGAACAATCATTGAAAACAAAGACCCAGAGTGAGACCCAGTTCCTTGTTGCAAAATATAGATTCATGACTGTTGCTTCTTTGTTCTTTTCTTACCAGAGATGGCTTTCTTTTTCTCTGTGTTTTATTTATTGTCAACTTTATTACACTAAATAAATTAACATGACTCAATATTTCTCATATGTCAACAAATTATTTCACATTTATCATTTCTTTAATATTTATTCCTGGCATTTCTATCCAAGCTGATAGAGTAGTATCAACACACTCATTTTCATTTTATAAATATTTTCTAGTGTTACCTACCACATGGGATTCATAACTATCAGATTGCTTATTGCATAGGTTATAAGTAGATACACCACCATTTACATTTTAATAAATATTTTTTGTATAAGTACTTTTCCATTTAACTCTTCCTTGAGTTTCTAAATAAATGTTTAAATCTTCCATAATTGGAATCGAATATCTTGATACATATTGAAAAAGAGCTATTCAAGGGATCAGAGTGATAGTACAGCAAGTAGGGCATTTGCCTTGTATGTGGCCAACCTGGGTTCAATCCCTGGCATCCCATATGGTCCCCCAATCATTGCCAGGAGTAACCCCTGAGCATCACTGGGTGTGACCCAAAAAGCAAAAAAAAAAACTCTTCAAATGATCATACTTATTTATGTAACCCTGAATTTTCAGGTGAGATGAAAAAAAGTTCGCATAAAATATATGCAATTTAATCCTTTTAAGAAGAGAAATCCAAGGACTATCCCAATGAAAACTGTTAGTAATAAAATTATTTTATTGTCATTCTGCCTTTGTTTTTATAGTTAGTAATGTTTTTTTCTTGTGTTCATATATATATATATATATATATATATATATTTTTTTTTGCTTTATAGGTCACACCTGGCGATGCACAGGGGTTACTCCTGGCTCATGCACTCAGGAATTACTCCTGGCGGTGCTCAGGGGACAATATGGGATGCTGGGAATCGAACCTGGGTCAGTCGCATGCAAGGTAAATACCCTACCCGCTGTGCTATTGCTCGAGCCCCTTATGTTCGTATAATTTTCTAAAATCAAGCTTCTAGTTAGAAAATAAGCAAAGAACTTAATAACGTACAAAAATGTATAAGTGCATATCAAAAATTAATAATATCCAAATGCTATAAATTAATAATATCCTACTTTGGACAAACTTGCAGGCTATCCGAATGTAGCCTGCCCACAGGGCAGAGTCTGGCAAACTCCCCGTGGCCTACCAAATATGCCAAATACCAGTAACAATGATGGGTCTCATTCTCCTAAAGAGCCGTGAATATAATCTCAGGGCTAGGATGAAAGAGACGTTACTGGGGCCTGCTCGAGGCAATCGACGATTAACAGGATGATGAAATGAAATGAAAAATCCAAATGCTAAATAGGGTGTTTTAATTTTTTAGACTCCAAGTTATAATAAATTAATCTCAAATAATTTTTGTATTCTTTGCTCCTTAAACTGCCATGGCATTATTTGAAAACCAGAAAACAAATCTAAATGTGACCATGTGAGATTATGTAGCCTGAAATCACAAGTACAAAACACAGCTGAAAAATAATGTTTTAGTTCCTGGTTTAATTAAAGAAGAAATAATCACCTTCTTTGAAATGGTCCACAAGGAAGTGTTTTTATGCCAGAAAGTGCATATTATGAAAAGCTCTTTGACAAAGCCATGACACCCAATACTATTTGTCAAGATGATATCATTTAACAAAAATGTTAGCAGAAGACTTCTTGGATCGCAGTGAAATGATCAGTGTATCAAAACTAAATCATAAGGGTCAGGAACATACAGAAGACCATAATTAATTGCAATAATAGTATTCATTCTCTATAACAAATTAATAATGTAATAGAGTCTGAAAAGGGAAGACAGTGGGAGATTTCATTATTCATTATGGTGGAATTTATATGTGAAAAATAGAAGTAAACCTCAATATTCAACAATTACACATTTAAAATAGTTATTTTAAGACAAAGAAGTGTAAGAAAAACAGTATGTAGACCCAAAACTCATAGAATAACTTTTGATGTAATAAATATAGACAGGGCTTCTCACTATCAAAACATTAGTATTGGTATGGAACCTTCCATAAACTGAAATGATATTTAGTGAAGTACAGCTGTAGGGTGTTTGCCTTGTGCAGCCAGCCCAGCCAAGCCGGGTTCGATTCCTCTGCCCCTCTCGGAGAGCCTGGCAAGCTACCAAGAGTATCTCACCCACGCGGCAAAGCCTGACAAGCTACCTGAGACGTATTCAATATGCCAAAAACACCGTAACAACAAGTCTCAAAATGGAGACGTTACTGGGCCCGCTCGAGCAAAATCTATGAACAATGGAAGGACAGTGTAATTATCATTAATTTATATGGGGGAAAAAATGGCACACACTCCAAAAACTAAGTCATGGTAAATAATAAACCACACCTAAAAGAACACTCATGTATAGTAAAAGTAGTAATGATATGGTAAATGCATTAAAGCAGTTACAAGGAAGAAGTGTTGTGGGGGTCACTCGTTATCAGTTGTCACGCAGTGGAATGTGCTGTCTCTGACAGAGCTGCTGCGAATCATATTCTGAACATAGAGTTTGCTCTTTGTCAGTTCAAAATTCTCAGTGGATTTCTTTCAGTTAGCAAATGGGATACTAATTTAAGTCGTTCCCCTTTTTTAATTTTTTTGATGCTTGTATCATACACAAGCAGTGCTTTGAGCGACATTCATGGTGCTACTCAAGGAATCATATGCAGGAATCATGATCAAACATGGGCCTCCTGTCGGTGAAGTATGTGCTTCAGCCGGTAGATGTTATTTTATGTTTCTCTTGTAAACCTTTTATTAAAATAAAGTAGCATAATGCAAGATTTTAAAAGGTTATGTATGTGAATTACTGGGAAATTCAAATAGTCTGAAAGAAAAAAATCACTCTCCCAAAATATCAATCACTAATTCATTTAAAAAACAAAATAATGAGTAAACAACACATGTTTCTAAGATAAAATATTCTTTTATTTCAGGACTTACAGATCTGCTCTATTGAGTTCATTATCATATACTATAGAATTTGTTTATATAATTTATTTAATCAATCAATTAATTCTAATACTTTTTAAGGTTATATATATTTGTAAACAGGGTTATCATTAGTTTTACATGGTTTGACTGACTTCAAAAGTGCCTTTAAAATATGTCAAAAATAAATTAGAATGCAAAGCAAAACTTATATAATTTTTAATTTAGATATTAATTTGGGTACATTGTGATTTGTGAGATCCTTTTGTTTTGGGGCCACACTCAGGGGTGCTCAGGGATTACTCCTGGTAGTGTCTGAGGAACAATATAAGATGCTGGGGATAGAACCCGGATACTCCCGGTGCAAGACAAATACCCTCTCTGCGTACTATCACTCCGCCCCTCTATTGTGATTTGTAAGTTACTTCCCTTCACAAAACTATTTCTCTTTGAAGCCAGATAGATAGTAGAACGGGTAGTGAATTTGCCTTGCAGTGTACTAACCTACGTTTGGTCCCAGGCTTCCCATGTGGTCCCAAAAACACTGCCAGAAGAATCACCAGGGCCCAGACCCAGGAGTAACCTCTTTGCATTGCAGTGTGTGGCCCCCAAACAAAACAAAAACAAATAAACAACCCTGTTTCTCTTCAAGGGTGCAAAAGTAGCCTTCTCTTTCTCATCATTTTTGTTTTATGTTTTTCTTCTTATGTCATATTATCCCTACCATCCTCCTGAGACAGAAAATTTATAGTATGAATGTTTATAATAAAGATTGAAGAATTAATCTTAATTTATTGAAAGTAAAAAGTAAAAGTATAATACCTGGTGACCAGAAACTAGTACAGCAGTTAGCGTACGTGCTTTGCATTCAGCCTACCCAGATTTGATTCCCAGTATCCCATGTAGTACCCTGAGAACCAGCAGAAATGATTTCTAAGTGCAGAGCCAGGAGTAACTCTTGAGTGATTCCGGGTGTGATTCAAAACCAAATCAAACATAACACTGGAGCTGAGTTTTCCAAGAATGGGCAAGATATGTAGAAAACAGGACAGCCATCTAACATTCTGATGTTAAACAAACAAAAAACAAGCTAAGGAAGTCAAAGAGATTCAGAGGAAAATAAACCATTTAAATAAAGCGAACACTGATTTACAACAAATAGTTCTCCATGGCTCAGCAAATTTAATAAGAACTAATACTCAAATGACAAGAGTTTTGTTTTTTTTAAATCTAATAAGGTGAGGGGCTGGAGTAATAGTACAGAGGGTAGGGTGTTAGCTTTACACGTGGTAGACCTGAGTTCAATCCCCGATACCCCAAGCACTGACAGGAGTAATTCCTGAGTCCAGAGCCAGGAGTAACCCCTGAGCATTGTTGGGTGTGATTCAAAAAGCAAAAAAAAAAAAAAAAAAATCTAAGAAGGTGAAAAGAAAGATTATAGACTTAAAGAAAAATATCATAGCTTAATTAATATAGGGAATTTAATAGTAGATAAATTAACATGCAGTACAACTATGTCAAGGACAAGATCTCAATAGCAATTCAAGAAATAAATATGGAGCCCAGGGCTACAGTATGGTGGGAAGGATGCTTGCCTTACATGCAGAGCAAATTTGATCCCTGTCAACCCATATTGGGTTCCCGCAAGCCTGCTAGAAATGATTCCTGAGTGCAGAGCCAAAAGTAGGCCCTGAACACTGCAAAGTGTGACCCTCTCAAACAAACAAAATTTTAAATAAATAAATAATACTTCAAAGCAATAATTAATTTTATAAAAATCATCAATAGTCGATTTGCTCGAGCGGGCCCAGTAACGTC